AGAACCACGACAGCCCCCCTGCCTCCTGCCCTCTTGAGACTACGGCCGCCTGCAGCCTCCTAATCGGGGTAACAGGAACTGTGGAAAAGATCCACCTCCGTATTGTAGAGGTGCCTAAGCTTGTCCTGCAGTCTCCTCAGGGTCATCTGGGTTATTTTATTCTCGTCATTCTGCGCAATGACAGCCCAGGACCTCTTGTGGTTGTTGTCTATCACACAGCAGCCTGCGGACCAGATGTGGCTGGGCTTGTTGATGCGGCAGGCGGAGATGTAATTATTCCCAGGCACCGCTCCCGTCACGATGTAGGTCTCACGGCATCCTTGGGCTCTTTGTGCCACGGAAGCCTTGTAATCCGCCCACGTTCCTCCGTTGAGTACATTGTACTGGGGAACAGCGTCGGTCATCGTGAAGGTGGCGGTCCTGCTGTCTGCATCCGGCTGGTGACTGTTGGGGTTCAACTGTCCCCTGTTAATCTCAAAAACACCCCGGTAATCAGCAGAAACAGCCTGGCTTGCATTGATCTTCACAAATATCTCAAAAATGCCTTGGGAACGCTCATCCTCCATTTCCCTTCGGTTGCTTCCAATATTCTTTACCAGCTGCAAGCAGAAAGGAAATGTGCTTGTTATTCGCCTCTCGGACACCAGAGAACCTGAAGCGGCTCTTGGTGTCCAGCGGGAAATGCTGGGGTTGCTCAGCCGTGCGGGCGCAGAAGCCACAAGCCTCCGCCTGGAATGGGCACGGAGTGAGGGTCACCGCTGCACTCCTCCCACCCTGCAAGATGCTCACTGCGGATTGTGGCCCTCAGAGTATTGCACCTCAGAGGCAGGGGAAAGCCTGAAGGGCCACCAGGTTGCTTCCTGTTTGGGAGCTCCTTGCTCCTGGCCAGCCCCCTCCCGGTCCCTGAGCTCCTGCTTGTGATGGCGTGGCTCTTTCCGTGCTTCCCACAGAGAAAGCAGGACCTTTCTATGCTCAGCGGGCCAGTGACGGGGTTGGAGAGGTTTCCCAGTCTTGTAGCCGGGTCACCTGAAATCCCTCAGCTGTCCAGACTGTTACATAAAATTGTTCTCTACTGGACAACGCTGAGTAGTTTTTTTTAACCACGGGTCAAATTCCGTCTTTCCCTTAAAATAGCTTGAAGATACTAACCGGAGTTTTAGAAAAATACACCAAAAGCAGCAGCAGAAAGAACGCAAAGCAGGTATGGAAAGCGTGAGCGATTGTTCAGCAGTAAGAACGATTGGTAAGGACAGTTCCAAACAGAGGAATACCAGAGACTGTTTCCTTTCATTTTCGTGACCAGCGCAGCACTTGGGTGGTGTTAGTGCCCCGTTGCCCCAGCAGGAGGTGCTGAGCACCCGATCCTGGGAGGCTTCCTGGCCAGCACCAGTTCAGGATTCAGGCTTTAATTCGTTACAGTTCCTGGATGTGAACCAGCCTGGAGCTCCTAGGCTGCCCAGGTGGAGAGGCAGCTTACCTGAGGCTCTACAAACCAGTCTTCATTTCTCTCATCTACACCAGGACTGTATATATAGGCAGAATATACCGGGATGCGGTTCTGTCTGTCGTACAGGGTGGCAAAGCGATAGGCGTTGTTGTACCTCTGGCAGATCCTGGCATAGTTATGCCCAAGATGGACCACTTGAGGTGGCTCCCTGTCCAGGAAGAACTGGAGGCAATTAGCAAAGGTGTCGTGCACCTCTGCAGGTGCCGGGATGAGGAAACAGGCCGAGAGCGAGAGCAGGACAGGCAGCAGCCCCGCGAAGCTGCTCCTGAAGGGCGTCTCTGCACCTGGAAGAGACGAGAGTGGCGGATGCTGGCATCATTCGGCCAGGAAGCTGATGTTGTCTGAGAAGGTTCCATCGACCCATGGGCTGGCAAGGTCATCCTGTGGCAATGTTGCGGTTGATGGGAGCACAAGTAGCCTGGGCCCCGATCCAGGAATCTTGGGCTATGTTGGGGCATGGATGCCCAGTGGCTCTTGGCAGGCATTCCTGGCGCATGTTGATCTGGGCTTGGGGGTTGGGGGGAGGTCTGGGTCAGAGGGCCAGTTCCAGATGTTGAGATGAGAGAAGCGAAGGCGCTTTTCTCGAGGCCGCACTTCCCTGGTTGGCAAGCATCGTGGAAACGGAAGTTAAAAAGACCGGGGCCGAGAGAGCAGGAAGAGGCTTTTGGTGCCGAGGAGGAAACGTTTGGGCTGCTGTGGAAGAAAATGCAGCTGTGGAACCTGCAGGAAAATGCAGGTGTGGAGCCTGCTTACGGTGCCCTCGAAATACAAGGAAACAAGCACTTGGAATCGCCCCCTTCTCAAAACTGCGAGCCTAAAACTTCTGCAGGGCCACAGGCTGGCTACCATTGTGCTAGAGATTTAAAGTGAAGTTGAGAAAAGTGTTGAACTTTGATCTCGGTGAGGTTGCTTCTTTTGTAATGTTGCCAAGTGTGAGCAAAATGATTAATGCTCTTCTCAGATTAAAACCCCGTAATAAGAGCATCTTTGTCTGCAAAGGTGTTTGAGGCGACTCACCTGTGAAGTGCCTTCTCAGCTCACCTGTCTTCGGAAGTGTGTCTTGCAGAGCAGTGCTGGTGTCTTAGTGTATCTCTCTGTGAACGGCTTCTAGGCGAGAAGAGTAGCGTTCTTTATATATCCTGAGCTAAGGCTCTCCTGGCACCGTTTCATGAGGGACACAATTCCACAGAATCCATTCAAAATGCTGATGTGACTGTTTTGGAACCTGAAACCCACATCCAGGTTTTGAGCACAGTTTCATAATTCTGTGCTTTAAGTTGCTTCTTCAGATATTGAGGTACTGTACAATCCTATTGGAGAGGAGATGGTTTTCCAAACTTAGGAAACCTGGCACTGATGTGGCTTTTTTCACAAAATCTTACACCATCATCTGGCAGCAGGTACACACCTGGGACTGGGTGGGAGAGGCTTTGACACACTTTGGAGCAGGTTTAAGGGGCGGCTGTTTGAATCCATAAATGGCCTACCTTTTCCGTGGAGCAAACCATTCTCGATTGACTCTGATGGCTGGTTTTCGACTCTGGACAATGCAATGAGAAAGTTACAGCTCTGGTTATGTGTGTGAGCCTGATAATGATGACTCTCCAGCCATGTCTCACGACTATTTTAGCAAATGGTTTGATAAGGCATAAGATGGCATGATTGTGGGAGGGGATTTGAATGAGCTCTTAGATCCCTCTCTGGATAGGAAGACACCTGAAGGGCAAGCAATTCTATTTTGCTTTCCACATATATATTTTCCTGGTGCCAAAATGTTGAATATCTCTGTTGACTTACTTGCGAGGTCAGCTACATGGGTGCGGGGCATGTGGGGGACGTTTCCACAGCTTGGGCACGTTGACCATGCGAGTGACTCTTTTTGAAGAGCTGGACAATTTCACAGAGCGGTTTTGAAATATTAGTGGTGGTTCAGGAAGCAAAAAATCACATTCAGATTTCTCAGGAGCCTGCTGAGTTTGAAACCCACCTCCTCTGATCACTGCAGGGTCAGTCTAAGGGGAGATGAACATATTGCCATAAATCATGTGATGCTTTGTCCTTCTCCTCTTGCAGAAGTGGTAATGCAGCTGCCCCTCCGGCTGTATTTTGATGCATGCAGGGCTGTCCGGACTTACCTGGATATGCTAGTCGGTACGCCCAGGACAGGATAATAGGAGGTTTCTTCTATGCTGTCTTCTGTGGTCCTTGCAACACTCTTCGTGGCAATTCATGAAGCTAGAAATGCAAGAAAAAAGCATGAATGCAAGAGATGGGAAAAGCAGGTAGAAATCAGAGGCACGAGTGGCCAAGACCCAAGAACTCTGCAGGCGAAACGCCTGGTGGATGCTTGACCAGGCACTGGGGCCAAGGAAGGGGGCAAGCAGATTTCCTGAGGCTTGGAGTTCCACATTTTGTGTTCAGCCACAGCGATGCCTAAGCTGACAAAAGCGGCCTCGGAGGACTCGCAGAGCGCAGAAAGGGAGCGTTCTGGAAGAAGGGAGGGGAGAAGAGAAGCTCGAAAGTGACAAATCCCAGAGCTGCTCCTGTGCTCCTGCCAGTGCTGCTCCTCCGGGCAGGGACTGCAGGCCTGCCTAGGGCAGGAGGATGGAGAAAGGGCTCCCCTCCTGGCCAACTGTTGGCTCGTGGAGGTAGGCGGATTGCTAGAGGCAGGTCCTTCAAGGCTCCTCCGAGCACCTGAGAACTCTCACAGGCACCCACCCTCTGCTTCACGTCCAGGCCATAGGGAACGGCCCACAGATGCTGGGGTGGAGTGGGAGAAGGACATCCTCTTGGCCCACTTCACTGTCCTGAAACAGGGCAGTAGTGCTTGCCCTATCTTGGGCCTGAAAAGGGTGAACGGCTACCAGAAGTTCAGAAGGGAGACTATCTCGTCCGTAAGGACCATTTCAGTGAAGAAGACTTGCTGACTTTGGTAAACCACACAGAAGTTTACCTGCACTTCTTCATGCAGCTGGACCGCTGCAGATTCCTCTGCTTCAGCTGTGACAGTTCTAGCTGAGGGCTGTCCTGTTTGGTCTGGCCAGAGCTGCTTGGGTCTTCACCAGGCTTCGACTGGTCCTGGTGGCTCACCTCTCAGCCAGCAGGGTCTAGCTCCATCCCTATCTGGATGACATTCGGATCCTCTCTCCCATGCAAACTCATAACCTCCCAGCCACCAGATCCCTCGCATCGACCCTACAGAACTTGAGCTTTCCGATCGAGGAAAAGAAGAGTTCCTGTTTCTCAGCTCAGTCCCACCTCCCCTTGAGGGTGGCCCTGGACATTCTGGGGAGCAGAGCAACCCCCTCGCTGGTCAGACAGGACATCCTGAGTCACCTTGCTTCCTGGACCCCTTCCGAGGGGATGGTACATCTCAGGAACCTGTCAGTGACCATGGGCAGGAAGAGTTGTTGCCAGGATCCCATCCAAGGGGCGTGTTTCCACTCCAGCCATTTCAGACTTTCCTTCTGGGAGTCCAGATGGAAATGACCGTCGCCCACAAGCACACCGGTATCCCTCCCTGTGGTGCTGGGCGAGCTGCCCAACCGGGTCGCTGAGTTCCTAGATCCAGACCCAGACCGTGCCCTCCCGATGCCAGGCACCCATCCTGCTGGCTGGGAGCTGCATTCCAGGTCGCTGGGTCCAAGGAAGCCTCCTCGCTACACCCTCTTGCCACTGGGGTTGAGGGTTCTGGTCACGATGGGGAGCATGGTTGTCATGGCCCTGCTTTGAATTGTTTTCAAAGTACGTTGCAGCAACCCAGGCATGAGGGCATCAGTGCGTGGAGCAGTGGGGCTGGGCGAAGCCAGCGCACCCAGGGCTGGTTGGTGGGTCTGTTGGCCCTGGGAAAAGCTGCTCTGTGCCCGTGGGTGCCCCATGATGGCCTTCTGAGTTCAGTCGCTTGTCTCCGGAATTGCTCATTGAAGCACAAACGCAGGTCTGTCCAGCATTTGGGAGAGAAGAATGAGTGAGCATCGAAAGCACGGTGAAGATGCAGAATGAAGCATCTGGGAACGAGCAAGCAGCAGTGGGAGCACTGGGGGAAGCTGGGAGAATAAAGCGGTCCACGAAGTAGGTTCCCGCGGGACTCCTCTAAGGAGGGAACTGCACAATGTGAGCCCACCGTAGAAGCAGGGCGAGGAGACCAACGGGAGGGACCAGGCAGGGGGTGAAAGAGACAGTGCTGCTTCTTCCGAACTGGAAAATGGGAGAATCCAGTCCATTGGGTCCAACCTGTTGCTGCCGCAGGACACCATGTTACACCATCCCACTCAGGGGGCCGTCCAGTTTCACCTTGAATGTCTCCAGTGTGGGAGAGCCCCCCACCCCTCCAGGCAGCTGGTTCCCCTGCTGTATTGCTCAGACAGTGAGGAAGCTTTTCCTGATGTCCAGCCTGAATCTGGGTTGCCACAACTTGAATTGATTATTCCGTGTCCTGCATTCTGGCATCAGCAAGAAGAGATCTTGCCTTTGAGATACTTATAGAGGGATCTCATGTCCCCCCTCAGCCTTCTCCTCAGGGCTGAACATGCCCAGTTCTTTCAGTCTCTCCTCAAAGGGCAATGTTTCCTGGATCATTTTTGTTGCTCTCTGCTGGACCCTTTCTAATTTTTCTGCATCTTTCTTAAGTCTTGGAGCCCAGAACTGGACACAGTATTCCAGGTGAGGTCTGGCTAATGAGGAGTACAGAGGAGCTACTCCTCCTAGTGATTTGGAAGTAATACTTCTGTTAATGCGTCCCAAAAGAGCATTTGGCCTTTTGGCACCTGCACTGCATTGCTGGCTCATATTTAGCCTGTTCTCCACAATTACTCCAAGATCTTTTTCTTTTTCAGTTCTGTGGAGCCAGGTATCCCCCACGTTGTATCTTGTATCCATGCATTTGGTTTCCTTTTCCCAAGTGGAGGACTTGGCACTTGTCCTTATTCAGAATCTCACTCTGTTGCTTTGAGCCCAGTGTTGCGGTTGATCAAGATCGCCCTGGATCTGCATTCCATCTTATGGCGTGTTTGCTATTCCACCCAGTTTTGTATCATCTTTTCCTTGTACTTCCTCATCTAAATCAATTGGATCTATTTCATTTTGAACCTTTTCCTGGACAAGCACCTACCATGAGCCCCTTCCCTTCCCTTCTGGGTGCACCCCTTCTCCCCAGGGAAAACCAGATTTAAGTCCTCTTGCTAGCTTGCAGCCCCTCACCTCTCAGCTCGATTGGCGCACCGCAGAGGCAGCCCTCGTTGGGGGATTGCCTGCACCTCCCCCAGACTGAAAGCCCGTGGAGATTTGGCAGTGGGAGCCCGCCTCTCCATGCTGGAAGGGAGCTGTTTCCCATTGCACAGGAAACTGGGTTGTTGCTGTGAAGATAAAATGGAGAGGAGGAGGAGAAGGAGGCCTGGCTGCTCCTCTGGGGGAGGGCAGTCACCTGCAGCCCAACCCTTGTGTCGGGCTGTGGCCGGGGCCCTCTGGCTTTCCTCATCTGATGAGGACATTCAGGTAGGACAGGACAAAATGCTCTTTCAGGCTGCATGAACAGAAGCGTGTCTTCCCAAACCCACTGAGCGCTAATTCTGATCTCCCCAGCACTGGTCAGTCCTCAGCTGGACTGTGGGGGGTGGGGGCAGAGGAGGGCAGCGAGGGCGACTCAGGGAGTGGAGGCAAAGCCCTGCGGGAAAGATCCCGACTGGGCAAGCTCCGTCTCAAGCAGAGAAGACGGAGGAGAGACAGGGCAGCTCGCTAGAAGGACCGGAACGTCACAAAAGGGAGGCCAAGCTCTCTGCTGCATCATCCCAGAGGGCAGGACACGGAATGGTGGGCGGGAGTGAAAGGATTTCCGCTAGACCCCAGAGAGAATTTCCTCCCCACCAGAGCAGTATGGGAATGGAGCCTATTACCCGGGGACACGAGAGACCTTCAAAAGTGTCTGGAGATCCTCCGAATGGGAAGGTAGGACGGAGCATCCTGCCCTGGCAGAGGGCTGGACCCAACGCCTCTGGCGCCTCCCAGCTCCGTGAATCTGTGCCAACGTGAGGCCTTTCCACGAGGTCCGCGCTGGATTCAGAGGAGGGGCGCCTGGGCGCTTCTCTCAGCGCCTGCATGCAAATGCCACACACCCCTCTCTCCGAGCATCGCACGGGGCTGCTCCTGCCTGCTGGACAAAAGGCGAGCCACGCCGGGTCACCCCCGAGCCCTTCCCGGCCCTGGGTTCTGCCCAGGCAGTGGCCACCGCCATGCATGTGGAGGGCCGGGGCAGCCCCCACTGGCGCCCTCCGGGCCCCGGTATGCAGAGCAACGTTGCCTCCCTCTGATGCGGGCGGCTGCCAGCCCTGCCGGCCCGAGCAGCGAGCGCTGCAGCGGGGAGCTCGAGCACCGGGTGCTGTCCAGGGTCTTGACTTCCCCGACTTCTGCTCGACTGGACGGGACTTCCTCCGGCTGGAGCGCTGGCGCTGCCCTGCTCCCCACGTGTGTCCCTTTCTCACGCTCGCAGCAACTGCTCCAAGCACAGCCTGCCTCCCTGACTGCCTGTGGGGAGCTCTCTGGGGGAGGGCGCGGCACGCAAAACAGCCCGAAGCCTGGAGCTCTTGGCCTAGCACTGCCTCCCTCGAAGAGCCGCGGGCCCTCAGCGACACCAGTATTGCCCAATGACCCATCTCCCTGCGCTTGCGTGGCTGGCGGGCGGGTGGCGCCCCCGGCAGGATGCCCAGCGCTGTCCGCGGTGCTGAGCAGCTGGCCCTGTGGCAGGCGACGCCAGGGCTCGCCCAGAAGCAAGGGTGCGCTGCTCCCCACAGACACGAGCGCCGCTGGCCTGTGGGCTGAGTGCCAGAATCCCTTCTCTCCTGCCAGCTGCCCCTCCTGCAGAAGGGGCTGCACCACTGCCCCCTTACTGATGGCGGGAAGGTCTTGGCCAAGCAACCAGAGAGAGCGTCCAGGGCTGTCACCCGGAGCCCACTGAGCGTCAGAAGGCACCAGCATCGACCCAGTGGACTCGCTTCTGGGGTGACACACACGAGAAACCCCGATCAGGCAGTGGCCCGCCTTTCGCATTGTGTGTACGTGTAGATTCCGTCTCCTGTGTGCGTACGTGTGCCAACTTCGCATTTTGCACGGCCCCTTGCAAACGTTGATTCCATGACTAGTAGCGGCCTCAATGCATCAGGTCAGCTGGGCAGACGGACTGACATGACTCCCCTGCTGGCACTGCCTGGAAACCCGGCTTGCAAAATATCCCCAGAGGTTCTCCGCTGCCCACTGTGCAGGCTCATGGCGGGGAGGGTGGACTTGCTCACTTGCTGAGCGGACCCTGTTGGGAAAATTCGGATACATCCTGGAAGGGAAAGGTTGCTCCTATGCGCCTTTGTGTTACGAAATCAAACCTGTGCCTCTTTGGATCGCTGTTGCTGCACGAAATGGCACTCTTAGCTGGGCTGAGCCGCTGCTGGGGGCTGATACTCCCAGTGGGGAAATGCCAGTGTTCAGACCACGGAGGGAGACAGGCGTTTGTTCGTTTCCAAATCACCTAGTTCCACAGAGGCAAGCACCTGCCCGGTGCAGTGGTTGGTGGAGGAACCCGATGCAGGAACCTGGGTGGCCCCTCCATCCGACACACCGGCTGACCCGACCTGTCCAGACTTTGCTAGATTGGCCTATCAATGCCGCAATCAGGAACGGCTTCCATCCTATTTCGGATCGGTTTAGAGCATTAAGTCATGCCTAAAGACATCAGGGCGCTATTGAACTAGCATCATCCGGAAACTTAACAGTCTGCATTGGTGTGTGTGATGAGGAGGTTATGAAGGTGCCTCCATGGGCTGTGATTTTGTAGCTGAGTTTGCCTCCACCCAGGAAGAGTCTGTCCTTGGTGTCTGCAGGCTCTGGGGCACCTTTCCTGCCACCCCTCCCGCCTGGGCTTTGAGCACCCTGATCGGGAAGTGGAGGGGGAGACCCCTCCTCCATGCCCTCCCCTCCTCTTCATCAAGGTGTGCCAAACCGCAGTCCGCAGAAAATTCCGTTCACGAGGTGTGATGGGGAGACCCCTCTGCTGCCCACCCCGCACCTTGCCTGGGATGCGCCTGAGCCTCCGCATTCCGAGGCTGAAGTTCAACCGGGGCAGCAGGCCTGGGATCGTGGCCAAATGATTTTGCAGTGGGGGGGGGGACGTGGCGAGTGGGCACTGGCCCCCATGGCAGTGAGGGGCCTCTGGGTTCTCCCCACCTCCCACCCGTATGTTCCAAAGGTGGGTCAACCCCATTCAGCACCAACAAGGAGTCCCCCCCCTTCCAGGATGAGGGCCAGCCCACCCCTGAATTGAGGCCCTGGCCCAGGGCTCGCTCAAGGTCCCCGATCCATCAGGGGAGAGGGGAAAGTCTCACCAGCAGGCCGAGGTTCAGTCCCAGCAAGGGCTGGGCAACTCCATATACTTTATACCGTATATATTTCATTTTTGTATCACCCAAAATCAGAGCTTGATGGGCGCTCCAGAAGAATGAGACATGCACTACAACACAGCAGGAAAAACCCGCTCAAGCTCAGCCTCTAAAGTACCGGAGGACAAGGGGGAGGGGGCTTTCTAGCCTGGCCGGCCGCGGGGTCCCTCCTTGACACACCAGCTGCTGGGGAGCTTGGGCAGGGGGAGGTCTTGCACCCGTCCTGCTGGAGAGATCCTGTGGGCAGATGCGTTGCCCCCAGGTGAATGGGGTGCTGCCCTATGCCCTTGTTATAAGCAGGACGCAGGAGAGCCCTGAAGGAACATGGGATGCAGGAAGAGCATCTGAAACCAGTGAAAGGCCCAGTGCAGATCCGTCCATGGATCTCTTTGGTAGAAGACGCCTGATGTGGGGAAGGCGTGGGGAAATGTGCTGCACTGCACGCGCATGTGTCCCTGCGGGTACGGCCAGGAGTACGGGAGAGAGAAGCCCGTACAGTGCAGGGGGGGCTGCAGGGCCGCTAGAATGCCTCCCACGGAGTAGGAGCATGAGCCACCTCACCAGGGAGGCTGGGCTCCCCTGGGACCTCCCTGAACGAGGCCGGTGCAGCCCTTCGCGGAGATGCCAAGCAGGGCTCAGGGAACTGCGTGCATTCTGTGCTCAGACCCAGAGGCCTGGTCTGGCGTGTCAGGAGGAAGGGGCTTCCAGAAAGAAAGGCCCGGGCACAAGGATTGCTTGGGAGGCACCCGATTGTGTGGAGAGGAGCAGACAGGATGCATCTCCTCCAGGATGCCCCAGGGAGGGGGGCAACACGACCCCCAGAGCCAGAATGCAGGGCGGAAGACAGGGAGGCCAAGGTGAGGGCGTGAGCTGCTGAGGGCCCGGCCCGGGCCTGGTCCAGGGAGCACCGGGCGTCTGGGTTCCAGCGAAGGGGTTCCCCCGCCCCCCCCGGCTCCCGCGTGGCTCCTTCCTCCCGACTTCGCTTCAAGGTGGCCCGAAGGGGCTTCTTTGCTGGGCACATGCCGCGGGGCGAAGTCAGGCGCTGCCCCGTGTCTGGGCCCAGGCACTTGGACAAAGCATGGACTGAGGGGAGCGTGTCGTGGCTGCGGCACCTGAGCCCCCTCCCCAGGCCCCGGGAAACGCGTCGGCCCAACAAAACCACACAAACACAAAGGGCTGCTCTCAGAATGATCCTTTATTTGCGAAGCGCTGGAGAAAGCCGTGGGTGGGGGTGGGGGAGCTCCCAAGGCAGGTAAACACAGAAGGAGAAGGTTCCCATCCGAGCACTCGCCTCCCTTCATCCCTCTCCTTCCCTACCCGTGATGGGGACACAAGGCGCCCCCCCCCCACAAGCAGGTCACAATCACAGCTGGGCAGCAACAGGCCCCGCAGGCAGGAAGAATTCGCTGGTGGCTGATTGCTCAGCAGGAGAACTGCAGCTGATGCGGAAAGCAAAGTGTTTCTTGGCATCCTTCCTCCGAAAGCGGCTGGAAGCGGCTCATTCGAGCTCGGAGAGGCAGGGCAGAACTATGGGTGGGTGGTCCTTCTGGGGTGCCCACACATCCCTCTGGTCCGGCTTCCCCTTCAAGGAGGGGAGGGGCACTTCAGAGGACCCACTGCAGTTTGTGTGAGCCAGGACTGTAGTGGGGTGGGTGGGCACCGTCCGGACCTGTCCCTGTGTAGCACCGCCCTGCCTCTCCTAGCTGCAATGAACTACGACAACCCCCTGCCTTCTGCTCTCTCGGCGCTACAGCTGGATTGTAGTCTCGCATTCTTGGTAACACCCACTGTTGAAAAGATCCACCTTGCTTTTGTAGCGTTTTTCAAGCTGTGCTTCCAGACTCTTCAGATCCATCCCGGTAGCATTCTTCTCATCATTGCTTGCAAGGGCACCCCAGGAGCACAGGCCTCTGTTGTGTCTCACGCAGCAGCCCGCGGACCAGATGTGGCTGGGCCTGTTGACCCGGCCCCCAGAGATGTAATTATTCCCAGGCACCGCTCCCGCCACAAAGTAGGTCTCATCGCACTGCTCGGCTTTTTCCCCCGCTTTCTTTTCATAAATCCTCCACGATCCTCGATTGAGGCCGCTGAGCATGGGCACAATGTTGGTGAGCGTGAAGGTGGCGGTTCTGCTGTCTCGATCGGACTGGTGATTGTTCGGGTTCAGGTGTCCCCTGTCAATCGTCTTATCAGTGTTATAATCATCAGAAACAGCCTGGCTGGCTCGAATATGCTCAAATACACGAGCAATGTCTTGGGAATTCTCCCTCTCCATGTTGCTTCCTGGCTTTTGAATATTACGTGCCAGCTGCAAGCAGAAAGGAAATGTGATGGTTATTTGCATCTCAGACACACCAGAGAACCTGAAGCGGCTCTTGGTGTCCAGCGGGAAATGCTGGGGTTGCTCAGCCGTGCGGACGCAGAAGCCACAAGCCTCCGCCTGGAATGGGCACGGAGTGAGGGTCACCGCTGCACTCCTCCCACCCTGCAAGATGCTCACTGCGGATTGTGGCCCTCAGAGTATTGCACCTCAGAGGCAGGGGAAAGCCTGAAGGGCCACCAGGTTGCTTTCTATTCGGGAGCACCTTTCCCTCGTCAGCCCCCTCCTGGTCCCTGAGCTCCTGCTTGTGATGGTGAGACTCTTTCCATGCTGCCCTTGGAGAAAGGAGGAGCTTTCCAGGCTCGGCAAGCTGGCTGCGGGATTGGAGAGGGTTCCCGGTCTCATAGTTAGACGGGGTTTTTAATCACTGGTCAAATTCCAGCTTTCCTTTGAAATGGCTCAAAGCAGCTATCAGTAGTTTTAGAATAGAGATCATAAAACTACACCATCAAAAGACATAGAACCAGGAATGCAGAGCAGGTACGGAAAGCACTGGAGATGGTTCAGTGGGAGCAGCTGTTGGATATCGCCAGTCCCCAGCAGAGGAATACCAGAGAGTATTTCCCTTGGATTGCATCGACTGACTTAATGAGTGACTTAATGAGAGCAAATGCATCTCGAGGAGAAGGCAGTCAGGAATGAAGCTCCGGCCATTGGATATGTTTGAGGGACCAGAGGGGCACTGGATTCCCAGGCCCAGGACTGGCCACAGCGCCCTGACCCCAGAGCTGGGAATCGGGCTGTCAGCCGCTCTCTCCTGCTTCCCTTGGGCCACTGTGGAAGACGAGGGGAGGGAGGCGGAAAGAGCCGCTGTTTCTCCTCTATTGGAAAATGGGGGAATCCTATCAGGTGCAGCCGAATGCATTGCACCCCCCAGGCCTCATAACCCGCCCAGCCCAGAAGCTCTTGCGCATCCAGTGCAGAGCAGAGAAGCAGGGAGGGTGTCCACAGAGGTGCCCGCAGACCATGGGGCTTGTCCGCAGCCTCCCCCCCCCCCCGGAGGCCTGAGGAATTGGGGGTGGGGCCCTCCCGTGCAAGGCAGGTCCTGGGCAAGTGGGCGACCGCCCTTCCCCAGGCCCCCAGGCCTGCCCACGATTTCGTGGCCTTCCCATTCGGCTCTGTCGCTTGAAACCGTGACATGAAGGGGGGGGGGGAATGGGGCCCCTCCTTGCTGGCAGCATATAATCGGCACCGCCCTTGGGGGGTGTTGATTCCCTGTGCCCCCAGGCAGGAGTGCTGAGTGCCAGAGTTGTGGGGCTTGATGGCCAGCACCAATCCAGAAATCAGGCTTTGATGTATTCCGATTCATGGAAGTGTGCCAGCCTGGAGCTCCTAAGCTGCCCAGGTGGGGAGGCTGCTTACCTGAGGCTCTACAAACCAGATATCAGGTCTTCCTTCTCCACCTTTTCCGTACTTATAAGCAGAATATATCGGGATGCGCTTGTCTCTGTCATACAGGGTGGCAAAGCGATAGAGATTCTTGTATCTCTGGCAGATGCTGGCACTGTTCACTCGGGGAAGGAGCAGAGTAGGGGGCTTCCCATTCAGGAAGAACTGGAGGCAGTTAGCAAAGGTGTCGTGCACCTCTGCAGGTGCCGGGATGAGGAAGCAGGCCGAGAGCGAGAGCAGGACGGGCAGCAGCCCCGCGAAGCTGCTCCTGAAGGGCATCTCTGCACCTGGAAGAGACGAGAGTGGCGGACGCTGGCATCCTTCGGCCAGGAGGCCGATGTTGTCTGAGAAGGATCCGTCGACCCATGGGCTGGCAAGGTCATGCTGCCGTTAGTGAACGACTGTTATGCTGTGGCTGATGGGTCCTTGCCCAGCCTGTGCTGCCAACCAAGGATGTTGGGACGAGAGGGCAGCTGCTCCAGGGTTTGTGATTTGGACTCCGAGGAGGAGGAGGAGCGGGGTGGGGAGGGGGCTTTGGAATGGGGGCCAATTCCAGGGGAGAGAAGCAGAGGCACTTATCTTGAACCCAGGCCCCCCAGGTGTGCAGGCAGCCTCTGAGAAGGACCAGGATGTACAGGGAGTGGGGGGGATTTGCAAAGGGGGAGATTCTCCGGACCGACAAGCAGGCACGGCTCTTGTGACTTCACGAGGCAATGCCGGCCGAGGAGTCAAAATGGGCGGGGGGCTTTCCTGGGGCCGATTTGCACTCGTTCTCCTTCCTCTTTCCCCAGCTGTGCAGGGCGCCAGACGTGCAGCAGAGATTAGCCGCCCTGGCGAGCCTATTCCTCAATCGCAGGAGTGCTGAGGTGCTGAAGACCCCCTGGCCCTCAGGGGCTCAGTCCTTCCACTTCGCTCTAGGGGGTTTTACATGCCCGGAGTATTTGAAGAAGCCCACGTGCAAATCCCCCTCAGCAGCAAAGCCCCCGGGGACTGATCTCTGTCTCTCGGCCTTACCCACCCA